CAACAGGAGCTGGAATCCTGTTGATGCCTTCAACTTGGTAAACACTGTTGCGCTTTTTAGGATATTGTGCAAGGGATATATTCCAATCAGAGTTGTGCAAGGAGTATTACAATGGCTTAACCTGCTTAGGAGTGTGCTGCTTAGGATGTTGTGCAAAGGCGGTCCTCAGAACAGGCAAGTGATTTGCAACAACACACAGCCCTGCAAGCAGCTTCCAAATTTTTGCACAATGATGCAATCCAGTGTAACACCAGCATCACACTGGCATAACATTACAGTACACAATCAGTTCACGGGATCTCAGCCATGTTTCCAATCCTGGGTCCTGCTGTGTCTTGTGCCACTGAATGAAAAAACATAGCAGTTAAAAAAATAAATCCTAAAAATAACTACTTCAGCTACTTTTTTGAAATGGGGAAGCATAACATTATTTTTAAGACCTAACTATTCTAGATTACTACTTGTAACCTCAGAACTATAACAATAACTAATTATTTTTAAAGGTAACTTTCTGAGCTCTTTTCTTGTCTGCTAGAGAACGTATGCAATTAGAGGAAGAATAATCCAAATTCAGTTTTTGTGGTTCATCTGCCAGATCTGGAGGTAAGGAATCAAAAGTTGGGAGGCACACCCCCTCAGGAAGGACTTGTCCATCACAGCCACATCAGGCAGACTTCTGCCTATTCATTCCTATATGGTGGTCAAAAGAAGGGCACTAGATCCCATCTGATTTGGGAAGCTAATCAGAGCCAGCCCTGGTTAGTACTTGGATGGGACATCTCCAAAGAAGATCAAGTGCTGTAGGAAGGCAATGGCAAACCACCTCTGAATATTTCTCACCTAAGAAAACTCCGTGAAATTCTTAGGGAAGCTTTACGTTGACAGATGACTCAAAGACACATACTTTACCTCTCTTTATGTATCTAGAAGGGGAGAGAAGTAATGGTTGCATCCCCCATTTTTGTTCATGGAGGCAAGAACAAGAATTCATTAGGGAAGGAAGAAAGATTCTCTATGCTATGTTTTGTTGTTGTTGTTGTTGTTGTTGTTGTGTGCCTTCAAGTCGTTTCCAACTTATGGAAACCTAAGGCAACCCTATCACAGGGTTTTCTTGGCATGTTTCTTAGGGGCAGGGGGTTACCATTGCCATCCTGAGGCTGAGAGATTCTGACTTGCAAAGGTTACCCAGTGGGTTTCCATGGCTAAGCTGGGATTTGAACCTTGGTCTCTAGAGTCATAGTCCAGCACTCAAACCACTATACCACACTGGCTTTTCGTTATCCTATGCTGTCTGTTATCTAGAAGAAAATGAGTGGAATGTGCTGCCTACAGCACATTTGCTTTTGGCCCACCAGACTGCTTTGAACTGTGGCTTTTAAAAAATCTGATGTTTTATAAAAACAAACACATTTTGTCCAAAAAAGTAGACTCTAAGGGGGCATGCACATACTGTTTTTACCCTCTTAAATAGTCACAAATGTATCCAAAAATGAATGGGAGATCCTTCTATAATGTCACTTAAAATGCTGCCAATCCATCTGTACAGAATAGTGCTGAACCTTGCATGTCAATCTCTGAACTACAAGGATCACTCCAGTCTGCATTGTTATTTAAAGTCTCTCTGCGGTATACTCTCCAATATTTTAGAGATGAAAACCAGGGCATGTGTGGCCAAGCAATGCCAGACTATGGTGAAGATGGCCAAAGTTATTAATGAGGAAGAACACACAAGCTAAGCGAGGCTGCAGCAGTTTCATTTTGCCTGAGCCTACTGGGAAGGGCAACTTTCTACCCCCTCCTCTCCTTTCTTCCTTACTGAGTTAACTAATTTGCAGCAAAGGAGGTAAGTTAATAAGAAAGGAGGCAAGTGGGAGGAAGAGAGAGAAGCTAGGACATTTTAAAAGCAGCCTTAAAGATGTGACAAGAGAAGATTAGTCAGGACTGTCCTTGCCAAATTAGTTGGAGGATATGTAGAGGACTTTGGTGGAAACAATATGGACTGAGCTGGGTACTACACACTACTTTCCAAAGATTAGAGAGAGAGAGAGAGAGAGAGAGACAAAGAGAGAATTTGCCTTCCTTCCTATGCCAAAATAGTAGCCACACAATCATGTGCCTGCCCCGTGATGGCCTCTATCTTTAGAAGACTATCAAGAATTGGTCCTAAAGAGCCCTCATATTGTTTTATTATAGTTCAATTTGTACGTCTTGTAAAAAAAATTCTTGCTACCCATCTCTGGTAAAGCTGAGATTTCTTAATCAAGAATAGGTTTCAACACAGAGAAATGGAATGCATGGGAAACAGTTAGCATTGCACTAGACTTGAAGACCATGGAAAATTATGCCTTTAGACTGCAAACCCCAGAATTCTCCAGGCCAGATTCTGTTTGCTGGGGAATTCTGGGGACTTTAATCCCTCCAAGTAATATTTCCAAGCTCTGGCCAGATGTCAATTTGTACATTTGTAAATACAGATTTGCAAAATCCACATGGTTCCAATCACAGAAGTTTGAAAGAAAATGAAAGCTTTTTCTGTGAAGTTCAAAATATTTTATTAACATTGTACAGGAAGTTTCTCTTCACTACCAAAGCAGAAAGGAATCTCAAGTAAAGTTTTCATCTCAATGAGATGCTTCTGGTTTTTTTCCTCCTAAGCCAAGATTTTTAAAAAAGAAGAAAAAACATTTAAAATTTGAATTAAGTTTTATACAAATCAGCCATATTTACATCCCTCACACCCTGCGCTCCTTATTATACAAGGCAACATAAATAGCAACCTTGACACTGTACAACATCAAAGAATGCTTATTAAAATTGCAGCTCTTTTCTTTTTTAAAAATGCACCACACATAGCTTTGTTTATTTTAAAAAAATATCCAAGGTTGTTCTTGCTTTTTTTTTTCTTTTAAAAAATATGCTTTCCTCTTTGACAATAGCTTAAAATGACATAACTAGAGCAACACTCAGATAATTTTCACTTTCTTAAAAAAATAACTTAAATTACCCCCAAAGTATTTTAAATATTTCCCTAAATTTTTAAATAAACATTTCTTTCTCCCATCCAACCCCTTAAAAATCCTAAATGAAGGTCAAATTCTTGAGTGGTGTAAATTAGAATCAGAGGCAGCCCAGAGAATGTGATTCTTCCTCTGATAAATCTGAAGCATCTTTTGTTTAAAGCGGGAAGAACAGATTTTGACAGTTTAAGGTTCAAGATTTCCCTCCCCTTTCCATGTTGGTGTTTTTGTTTTTGTTGGCTTATGTTCTTTTTTTTAAAATAAAAATCTGGCCTCTGATAGTGCAATCCTATCTGTGCCTGTTGAAAAATATGTTCTTCTGAGTCCAGTGGGATTTCTCCTGGGAGAATGGGTATACAGGATCAGGACACTCTATCTGACATAAACCTATATCCCATGATAAACAAGAGAAAAAAATCCCCCCTCTTTTTCCTCACCCTGATTTTTCATCTGCTCACAAATCAGCTGGTCCATACCAAGAATCCAGAACTTGACTCTCCCTGTCCTGAGTAAACTGAAAATTCCCATAGTATAAATCTGATAGTGGTGGTATAGGGGGAAAGAGCCACTATGGACTGACATCTTGGTCAAGGAGATTAAAATCTTGCATTCCTACCCTCTCAGAATTCATAAAAACTATCCAAGAATATAGCCTCCAAAGCCAAATACTTTCCTCTTACTAAACCTGCAACTGGGAGCTGAATTTCTGTATTGTCCATTTCAACCTCAGGTTAGCTCTTTCTGAAGAACCAGTTCTAAGGCCTCCTATGTGGCTTTTTCATGTTGTGTATATATTTCTACCTTTCCTTGGGCTTCTAGTGTAAACTTGAAATAAGCTCAGAATTAGTCTTTTCCAGGATTCTCAGATCTCATCAGTATTCTGAGTGACCACAAGTTCTACAATACCACTATGTTAATGGAAATGCTGTCCGGTTTTGGATTACAGACCATATTGTCTGTGGCTGACAGGAATTGCAATCCAGCACATTTGGAGGGCCTTGAGCTGTAGCTCATACCACAAGAAATGTGCCACTTTTGAAGGGAGGGATTGGGGAAATATGTGGCATTCTGAAGGGCTGCAAGTCCCATCATCCCCTTCCCACTGGGTGTGATGGCCATGTGAGTTACAGACTAACAACCTTTGGAAAGGCTATACATTCCATGCCTCTGCATTAAGAACCTCTTTGGTTCTTCTGACTGTATATTGTTTCCAAGGGAGTATATAAGAAAAGAGAGAAGTGGATTTCTTTCACTGTCCTCCCATTCCTGAACTACATGGATGAGTAAGGACACAAATCCTATTCTCGCCACAGGTGACAGCAATGGGTGCTGGACGTTCTGCCAGATTTTGTTAAGCCCTCCAAGAAGATGTCTCTTGAAACCACTTTGCTGGGGGGGGGTGTTAAGAAAATAAAATAAAATAAAATAAAATAAAATAAAATAAAATAAAGCAGATCATATGAGAAGGATCAAGACAACCAGTTGTATAGTTTCTTCCTGAAACCTGGTGTTGTGCCCATGCCTTTTGGCTCTTCTCCAGTCAAGCAGAGGGCCTCCCAACTTCATGTCTTCTCAACAAAGCTGATAGAGGTGATGGGGAGAAAAAACTGCCCACAGACAGACCATGCAGGAAATCAAGGTTGGTAACGCAGTTTTGGGTTGAGATACATGATGGACCACAAACCTCTTCCCTCCCACCCACATGCCCACCAACCCACCCACCTTTCCCTTTCTTTATTCTTCTGTTGTTAGAAGATCTCTCAAATGTCTTTACCCTGTTGCAGTTCAGTTCTTCCTGAGATGGGATGGAATGCATACTTATCCTACCAAACACATCAAAGAGTTTTGACTTGTCTCTGTCTGTCTCTCCTTCTCTCTCTCTCCCTCATGCCTTTTTTCCTGCTCCACTGGTTTTGTTGAGGAGGCAAAGGAGGTTAATATACTGCTCCAGGATTGGGAGGAGGCCCAGGAGATGGGTGATGCATAGAGCTAGAAGTGGGTGGAGGTCCTTGCTGTTGTATGTGAGGCCCGCTCAGGTTCTGATGATGGTACCAGGAATTGTGATCCTCCAGATAGCTGGGGGGAGAGTTATAAGAGAGTGGCTGAGGGAGCTGGTTCCTGTTGGCTGGGTTGTTGTGAGTGTTATTGTCCCAGAGGGTAGGAGACGGTGGAGAATTGCAAGCCATGGAGTCACTGTTATTGGGGCTGTGTTCCAAGGGGACCTCTCCATTTTTGTACAACTTCTTAAACTTAGACCTTCGATTCTGGAACCAGATCTTCACCTGAGGAAGGAATGAACATTTTTTTAAAAAAACTGCATACTTTTGGTTGTATTTTGAATAATCTATCCCAAGGCCTAGACCTTTTGGCTGAAAATTGAATTACCCATGCTTTCCCCCACAAAAATTAAATATCTGCCTTTCTCCAAAAAGAGAACATAATTAAATATCAATCATAGACTCATCTGTGCCATAGTATTTCCATTTTCTAGGTATGTTTGCAAAGAAAGCTGACCAGAAGAAGATCAAGTCATCTGAAATGTGGTGGAGGAGGAAAGGTCTATGGATACCACTGACCATGCAAAAGACAAAAGATCCAAGAACAAACCCTAAACAGAGGCTTTCATACTTTGGACTCATCATGAAAATATTTAACTCATTGGGAAAGAAGATAATGCTATGTAGAGTAGAAGGCAGTAGGAAAATACCATATCACAATTGGATTGATTCAATGAAGGAAGCCATAGTCCTGAGTCTGCCGGACCTACTGAAGACTGGAACTCATGGAGATTTCTCATTGGTAGGGTGGCCATAACTCAAAGTCTTAAAGAGTATTGTTATTGCTCTATCGATATAAAGAAAGTTGTTTCACTCCAGCTTGGTGGAAGAGCTACAGTTCAGATACAGAGCACCTCATTTGAATTATCAAGTTCAAGATCTGGCATCCTAAGGTAGAGGTGGCAATGACCTCTGCCTGAAATCCTGGAGTGCTGCTACCAGTCCATGTAGACAAAACTGAAAAGAAGACTAACATCACAACTAAAGGCAATGAGGTTCACTCTAGGCTTAGCCATAAAACAGAGTAGATCCACTGAAACTTAGTCTTAAGTCGGTAGTAATATATTTAAGTCTCATTGTTTCTGTTGGGTCTGTTTGAATTAAAGTTTATCCAACTATCAGGTTCTTGATCCAACAAACCATTTCCATGTATATACATAAGGTTGTTTGCATTCTCCTAGCCTGATTACAGCTGTG